AAAATTCAAAAGTACCACTGTTAAAAAAAAAAAATCCAAAAATACCACCCAACCCCAAAAAATTCCAAAAATACCACCTTTTTTCAAAAACCGCCACCCCACCCTGCAGTTTACACGAAACCGTTTGTCGGGGGCGCGGTTTTCTATGCAAACCGCGGGCCTAGTGGGCGGTTATAAAAAAAAATTTGGACCAAACCACTGGGTGGGGTGGCGGTTTTTGAAAAAAGGTGGTATTTTTGGAATTTTTTCGCATAACTTTGGCCGAAACTTCAAACAAACACAACTTTTACTAGGGTATCCGATCGTAGCGGTTTTTTTTTTCATTTCGCATAACTTTTCAAGATCTACAACTTTTACTAGGATGAAATTTTCAAAACAGGAACTATTTGTGGATATACGGGACCTTGGGAATAACTTTACCTTTACTTTTCACAAATCCATGTACATTTTGAAATTATGATTATATTAAAAGTTGTAGATCTTGAAAAGTTATGTGGAATAAAAAAAAAATTCATGACATTCGGATTTTGGAGTACAAAGTTATGGCCGCCCAAAGTTTGACGAAATAAAAAAAAGCTCGTTCGGGCTGGCAAATGCGTTTTTTCGAGACGAAGGCGGGACCCGGCGGTTTGCGGCTTGCAAGATCTCAAAAAGTTATTCGGATTCAAAAAATGGAGGCCGCAAACTTTTTGAGATCTTGCAAGCCGCATACCGCCGGGTCTCGCATTTCGTCAAAGTTTGGGCGGCCATAACTTTATGCTCCAAAATCCGAATGTTATGAATGTTTTTTTTATTCCTCATAATTTTTCAAAATCTACAACTTTTAATATAATCATAATTTCAAAATGTACATGTATTTGTGAAAAGTAAAGGTAAAGTTATTCTCAAGGTCACGTATATCCACAAATATTTCCTGTTTTGAAATTTTTATCCTAGTAAAAGTTGTAGATCTTGAAAAGTTATGCGAAATGAAAAAAAGAATCTCTACGATCGGATACCTGAGTGCAAAGTAACGTTCGTTTGAAGTTTCGGCCGAAGTTAGGAGTTGATCGGGAAAAAAATTTTTTGGACCAAACCGCTGGGTGGGGTGGCGGTTTTGGGTCAAACTGCCACCCCACCCAGCAGTTTGGTCCAATTTTTTTTTATAACCGCCCCTAGGCCCGCGGTTTGCATAGAAAACCGCACCCCAACAAGCGGTTTTCGTGTAAATCGCAGGGTGGGGTGGCGGTTTTTGAAAAAGGTGGTATTTTTGGAATTTTTTGGGATTGGGTGGTATTTTTGGAATTCTTTTTTTAAACAGTGGTATTTCTGGAAAAAGTCCAATGGTTACTTGCTTTCTCTTAGAGAGTTCAATGTAACACTCTCATGCCTAGCTATGCTCTAAGCATTTGTTTTCTTTTTCACAATATCGTTTGCAGTTATTTATTAAATCAACTTTGTTTCTAGCTTTCAATTCATAATTATTCACTTCTTCATACCAACTTATGTGAATGCTAATTATATTTTTCATGTCTAATCTATTAAAAATAAATGTTGCTTATCACTTAAATTCAATGGTATCCATGTTTTTTTTTTCCAGTCAATGGTATCCATGTTAGGTTTGATGTCACCAACATTTTCCCAATTTCTCATAAAAAGCATAATATATTGCGCTTGATATCATAGTTTCGTTAGGTAAAGTTCAACAAACTCAATCAATATTCGAACTCTTCGAAATAGCTATCTACATGTGAATATGAAGTACTGAGTAGCTAAAACTCTATTGAGTTAGTACAATCTTTTGCGCTATCGATTCAAAATTCAATACATGATTATCTTAGTACAATTTAGTCATACTAATTGTGCAGTAGGGGACATCTTATCAAAATCTTAAAGAAAGACTCTTTGATTGATTGCTTTATTGATGTAATCAATTATACCAAAATAGAAGTGATCAAATTTATAAGATGCACTCAAAGTTTGCTATAATTATCGAGGTTCAGCAGCACGTTAGGCGTACGACGGTCATTAGGCATTTGTCTATCTCCTAACTTGCCTAGACATGCTTAGATATTATAGTAAAAATAGCAATTTTAATAATAATGAATAAAATAACGGTTATGAAGCAATTTCATACTTTAGTTCAAATGATTTAACAACAAATGAAATAACTCTCAAGTTTATAAATTATTTTCTTTTACCAAATGATATAATTAATTCATTCATGAGCTGAAATAGCTAATTATAAGCACTTCAAATTTAAGTTAAAACTCTATATGATGCAATTGTTTGACGAAATGGGTTTTATAATAGAGTGGTTCTATCGAGAGAGGTCTCTAAGAAACATGGCTTACTTTATTATTCCTTAGGTGGATATAATATCTATATTCATCGTTACTTTTACATTGGATTCAATTTAGTATACTTTTTCATTTAGATAGATTTTTTTTATGATGTTCTGGGATATAATATATCATTATATATGATGGTGTAGGATATTAATTCCTCTCATTTTAGGTTCAAATTGATGCATTTTCCCCTTAACCGTTCCCTTTTATTGGTTAATAATTTTTATAATATTTTTCACTTTGAAATATCGTGAGCGGAATCTATACACAACAATTTGTGTTTTTTCTCTTTTTCTTCTCTTGGTTAGATATTGTGTCCATATTGATTATCAAATTTTTTGTTCTTTTTTCTAATGCAAGATATGATTTTATGTTTGATAATATAGATTTATTTTGCAAGCATGTGGATGCTTAAGAGTATGTTGTCAACCCGCGGGTCGACCCACTTTGACCCTGACTCGGTGAGAAAAACGGGCTGCACGCACCCGACGAGTCGACCGCTACAAGGTACCGGGTTAGAGGTCAAATTGTGTCATTTTTTATTTGGTTTGGGAAATACGCCTATTTTCCGATTTTCTTTTCGCCTAACTCAATCTTTGGAATCCTAAGTTGAACATTTGAATATTGTTGTTATATAATTGTGTGTGAATTTTCACTATATGTTGTATCTAAGTACGACATGTTATTTTATTGTAATATTATATGTTATAACTCATATGTTAAATGAGATTTGATATAATTTATTAGGATAAGTATAATATAATGACTCTTTCCATATTTTTGGGCTAAACCGGGAGACCCATTAACCCTTGACCCACTAGCTTCACCGGGTTCGGGTCAACCCGCGGGTTGACAACCTTTTGAGACTTTTTATTTGCCTCATAACTTACATTTTACAATGGCTCCAAACTTGGATGAGTTTCTATTCAGCACATAAATTTTTAATGATGTAAAATTTATGAAACTAAGGTGCATATTAATAAACAATGTAATGTCTCATCTTCTCTCTTAAGCACTACATATCATTGTTTACTTACCATTAAATCAAAGTTTTTCTAACTTGAGTAAGAGCTACAATGACTTTTATTAACGTTCACTACTCATATATCACAAGCGTTCAAATCATTATCAAGTGTTCATACAATGACTTTTATTGTTGTGGATTTCCCCCAAAATGTTAGGTATGTTGCTTTTAGTTTTTGCCTTCTTTTCGCTTTGATTTAGCTTTTTATGTGTTGCTCTATTAGTTGAACTTGCAGTTGGAGATCTGCATGTTTTGTTTCATTATATCATTGAATACACTAAAGTCAATGGAACCATTACTGTGTGAGTTAGTTTGTTTCTTTTTAAGTACACTCTAAACATATATTTTGTTTCATTATCATTGAATACACGAAAGTCAATGGAAAAGGCAAAAAAAATTTATCGTATACTGAAGATTGATTATGTATGTGTGATGTAAAACAACTCTTATTATTGTTCTTCTTAGACATTTTTATATAGATATGACTTTGTTTGAAATATGAATTTATGTTAGTGTAGTTGGGCGTTGTTTGTCATTTTTTAAACTTTATTAGTCAAATACATTAAATACTTTCATATATTATTTTTGGAAAACTTACCAAATTAAATTGTTACTTCAATCCTCAATGTTTACTACACATACACATGAAAATCAAACTCTCCCGGCTAAGAAATCGGCCCCTAATCTAGTCTCTTTAGATGAAACCCTAGTTGTGCTTAACCAAAATCAGCTGCCGCCCCCATTACATCTCTCTCTCTCCTAAAAAAAAACGATCGAACCAAAAGCAAGGTCTGATCTGCTTCTTCTTCCTCTCTCGCCCGTCCTTATCTCTCAAACCCTGACGAAAGAAGAACTCCTTTACCTATTCCTTCTAATCCCTCCAGAGAAGAGACGATCCCTCCTCTTCTCTTTGGTCGCCGGACACCAGAACGACTCGGACTCCTGGATTTGACAAGAAATACGGTGATCTAGGTAAGATTTTGGCCTGCATGTAGGTTCTTTTATTTTCTATTTCATAAACCGGATTATGATTCTTATTTCTTTGGGTTTTGGTTTTGGGCGAGGGGAAGACGTGGATGGCAAGCCTTGCCGCCGGCCGGAATGGGTCAAGCTCGGAGCTATTTTGGGTTTCGAGATGAGAAACATAGGATGGCGCCAGCCCTAGACTTCGCCGGCGACGAACGCGGCGGTGGTTTGATGACGGCTACTGTAGGTGAGAATTTTATTTTTTATTTTTGTCTACTTCGATTTGGGTAAGTACTGACCCATCTATTTTTGGTTTTGGCAGGATTTGATAGTGGACAGATTTGGTAAGGATCTCCTAAACCCAGTTTAATGTGATTTGGGAATTTGAACAAAACAAAAGGATTACTACTGAGGGCGGGAATCGGCATGCATATCTGTGATTTAGGAAATACGTTGTGAATATGTGTTTTTATACTTTTGGTGGTCGGTAGATTCAATCTATGAGTTTGGATCTAGCTCTAGATATGCTTGAAGTTGCTACAAAAGGATATTTTTGTAATCAAAATTTAATTAACATGCTCTTAATTGTTAATTTTTGCGATTGTAAACCACAGCTTCTGCCTGTTATTTTGCTAGAACTATAAATCACGGCCTCTACTTGTGTTTTTTCTAGACTAGGGTTTATTAAAATCTGAAACTTATTTTGTGTGGGTGATCTTTGTTGGATCCGGATCCAAGGTGATCCATGGACTTCTAAAAAGTGGTTTTTGTTTGTATCCAAAATATGCTTTTTAGCAAACTTTAATTTGCTTGTATATATGTGTGGCTATAAAAGTTGGGAAAAAATCCCATAATACACTAATTATTAAAAAAAATTCCCAAAATACAGTACTTATAAAATTATTTCCCAAAATACAGCAGTTTGGTTATCATCGCTTTCTACCAAAACGGTGAAAGGAGACCTTATCACCGCTGATGTGTAAAGCGATGATATCATCGCTGATGTGTAAAGCGGTGATAATTGACACGTTTTACCGGCCTGGTAGGTGGAAATTAGGTCACAGCTACCAAGCAATCACCGCTGAGGACAATGGCGGTGAACACATCACTGTTTTTGTCCAAGGCGGTGATTGCAAAAAAAATTATCTATAAATACTGACCTCCACTTCCCCTATTGCTACTTTACAGAAAATTAGTACAAAAATTAGTGTTTTATTAGTCGTTTTCTCAGCTGGTTTGGAGTTGGTTTACTGCTCAAGAAACTCGTCGGGATTCGGTATGTTATAATTATGTAATGTTTACATGTTGATGTGTTAGTAATTTATATGTCTGTATTTAGTGAATTGCGGTTATTGGAAAATATGTTATGATATATTTAGATTAATTATGATATGATAGATGTTAGTTAATTAGTTATGAATTTAGATGAATTTGATTAGTTTTCTCATGATAGATCGGGAGTCGGTATGTTTTCTCATGAATTTAGATGAAATTAAACTTACTTGAAACCATATGGGGGATTTGCTACAAATCGTAGCTCATCGTCTGGCAACCAGAATTCCCGAGGGTCTCGAGGTGCTAAAAACGGAAGATGCTCCCATGCCCAGAGTTGGAGTATGAACATCGCACCACCAGCTTGTTTCGCTCCCAACCTCGAGCAAGTACACAACTCTCGATAGATCCCAGCCAAGACGGCCGACCCCCAACTTTTTCTCCCGATCTCGTCCTAGTCACCGAGGAGCATATTTAACCACATGCCTTGTATCCACCGGTTTGACTTGTCGGGGAACAGAAACCCACCAACCAAACCAATTAGGTAGACACGTGCATACCGCTCCACCTGATCTTCAGGAGTGTCGGGGCCTATGTTAACCTCCATTTGGATGTGGTCAACAAGCCACGGGACCGATACTTGCCCCGCATTCAGTGGTGGATGCCCATGCCCGTCGACGGGCGTGGTGGTCGGCATGTTGAACCCCAAACGCTCTAGAATCAACGGCCCCCAACCATCATCCGGTTTTTTCGAGCTGTCGATGATGGCATCTCCGGTGATCGGGAGCCCGGTGAGGATGGCAACATCTTTGAGGGTGATCGTCATTTCACCCTCGGGAAAGTGGAAGGTATGCAGCTCGGGGCGTCATCGCTCTGCCATTGCCGTCAGCAGATCGTTGTCAATATCAAGCCTCGTAAAGTGCCTCAGCATGTGCAATCCCGTCCTCTCTATATAGAGCTGCAGTCGATCATGCCAACGGGGCAATCGACATGTCCCTCGATGAGCGATGGGAATAAGTGATTCCTACAAAACAAAAAACACAATATTATCAGTCAATAGAAAGCAAAATAAAAACTTTAAAACTATTGAAATAAATTTAGTGTCTACCGGATTATTGTTCCAAATTGAACGGGAGCGATGTTGATCTTGCCCGGTTAAATACCTTCCATCCCTTGGGCCAGGATCGATATACAATCGAGGTTCGTATATCTCAGCACCCATCTATAAAAAAATATAAAATCAAATCAATTTAAATTTTAGCACCCATGTAAAAAAAAATCACAAAAGAATATAATTAATTTACGTACTCTCAAAGCCTCTTCGTCCATTTTTTGCCGAAAAGCTAGCGAGTGTATCGACAAAACAAAACAAAAACTAACTCTAGTAATTCTTTCTGATGCGGAAGATCGGACTTAGCCGCAACCACAGAGCATACTTAGAACGAAACTAGAGGAAAGTAAAGGAGGGAGAAAGAAGTATAAGATTTTGGTGTGGTTTGGAATGAGGGGGGGGGGGGGGGGGGGGGGGGGGGGGGGGGGAGTGGTATTTATAGGGGAAAGTGGGGAAAGAGCCGTTGGAAAAATTACCAGGGACCAATCACCGCTTCTGACGAAAGCAGTGAAATCACTGCGTCCAACAAAGGCGGTGATGGCCTGGATTCATGACGTGGCGCGGCGTGAGGCGTCGGATCGTGGAGAAAAATCACAATCCGCGCCTCACTGCATCCAACGGCAGCGGTGAACGCGCGGGTGGCGCGGATCGCTGACGTGGAAAGCGGGGCTATCACCGCTTTGGTCTTCAGCGGTGAAGTCCCCGCCCGCGTCCACGTCAGCGATCCGCGCACTTTCACCGCTTTTGGATTCAACGGTGAAGATGTTCACCGCGTCGCAAATCTACGGTGAGTTAATCACCGTCATTGACAACAGCGATGATAGCATCACTGTTGTTGTCCAAAGCGATGATGCTATCACCGTTTTGGTCCAAAACGGTGATAGCATCATCGCTTTGGACCAAAACCGTGATGCTATCACCGTTTTGGTCAAAAACGGTGATTTCCATCACTATTTTTGTTTGCAGCGGTGATAACCAAACTGCTGTATTTTGGGAAATATTTTTATAAGTATTGTATTTTGGGAATTTTTTTTAATAATAAGTGTATTATGGGATTTTTTCCATAAAAGTTGCCTACTAACCCTAGAAATACGGAATCTAAACACGACGGTGATTTAAAACAAAACATCCAACTTCATGGATAGTTAAATTGATCGGTTTATAGCATAGACAAAAGCTAATAATATGTTGGGGGAAAAAGAACTTCAATGAAAGAGGTTAATGAAACTTATATGAGCAGATTTTGATAAAGAGAGTGCTTGAATATAAAGAGCTGTTAAGTAAAATGATTGATTATAAATAGGTAAGATTGATTATAAACTGGACAAAATGAAATAAGATTTAAGAAGATGAAAGTTGAGTACAAGCACCAACCTGGTTGAAGTGCCCCTTTCTGATCCTATCATTAAACCTCTGTACTAAACTTCGTGTAAACGAAATGGTGAAGAGAAAACCATATGTAAGTCTTTCTACTTATCAAGGTTTCTATTTTTGTAGCGTTGTTTCCCTATGGAATCCCCCCTAAACAGGCTTAAGTCTGGTCAGTAACCTCTGGTTACTCAGCAATGAGTAATCAGATATGGACCTTCCATTTTAAGTGGGTCCAAAAAATTTAGATCTAACTTCTAAGGGTTGTGAATTAAAGATATTTTATTTTCTCTAGTTTTATTAATCGATTATTGTCTTCTTCGTTCTAACTTGGATTTCAATTTTTTTGCACAGATGGAACTAGTTCGTTGTGCTCTACAAAACGAGATCAATTTCCAATATGTTTTGAGAGATGTTTTTTGATACCTCCCGTTACCAACTCCATACCATATGGTAACTTCTTCGTATTTAAGTCGTTTTTGAAAATATTTGCTCAGAAAGAACGAGTTCATCATGATCTATTGGATCTTCAAATTTTTGGGTAAAAAAATACAAGACCAAAAGTTACCATACTTTACCACTCTGGTATGGGGTGGTAACTTGTGGTAAACAAAGATGAAAGTCGTAAATGACAGTTAGTGTACTCATACTATCATGTATTCAACTTTTCTACAGTCTTGATATGTTCATACCATCATGGTACGCTTTCTTCCATATGATATGCTCCTATTTAATATCATATGATATTGGCTGGTAAAAAATGCCTCAATTTTTTGTTTTAAAAATATATCAAAGTGAATACCATTTTAAAAAGCACAATTAATCTGATTTATCTGTGCAAAAAAATTTAAATTTCGACTTAAAATGAGAGAAATCGTTCGTTAAAGATTAAGGGGGAAATGATAAAAGACTTCCCACGCGGGAGACGGATGCTGATGTCATGCTGATGTGGACGAGTTACTCATGGTTACTAACCTGATCCGCTCCCTCTAAACATAAGCCCAAGGAGCTCATTTATAGCAAATGAAAAAGAAAAATGCCACGTGTCACATTGTGATTTGATTTTTTATTTTTATTTTTGCTGCCTCTGCATGAGTGTCATCGCCCGGGTTGGATCCGGTCCTTAAGCCTCATTGTTTAAGGAGGTTCTTAAACCATTTTTATTGGCTGATACTAGATTAGGTAGTTAATGAAGGGTTAGTTGATAATAGTTAGTTGGAATAAATAAGATATTATGAAAATATAATTAATATTACTCATTAATGATTCTTTTTCTCTCTCATCTTCTCCATAACCCTCTCTCTCCACTACAATTAAAAGGAAATTCGAAATTAATTTAATTAAATATTATTATTTAATATTTAATAAATTTGAACTTAATATTTTTTATTTTTTAAAATAAAAATTGAAATTAAAAATATATGCTCTCTCACTTCGTGGCAACTTGCAATACAGTATTAACATTTTGCAATGACATTATCAACATTTATGAAATGAATCGTTATTATTATACCTCATCATTATTAACGACTTCAATATACTTATCAATTCCTTACAATTACATTATTAAGAATTTTGGATCAATTGTTATTGTTTTATAGTTTCGTCATCAACGTCTATGAATGAATCATTAAAGTTATGTAACATAGTCATTAATAGTTTGAATAACAATATCATTGATTTACAACATCTTTAGTACTAACGATTCACATTTTCACATCATGTTTATAACTATCTAGTCATGGCCTCTTCCAATGATTTCTAATGACATTATTAACATTTTGGACTTTGCTACGGTGACATGCATGTCACGGTGACATGCACTTTTCGGTCGACCTCATATAGGATCAGGTCGACCTAATCAGTTGTTTCAGTGTAAAACAGTTTCATGGTGCCTACTTTGGAGATTCATATCTTACAATTGGCTAGATGGAAATTGGAGATTAAAGGCTTGTTTTGAAGCCGAAGTGTCCATCTACACATTAAAGTACTTGGGAGCTCAATAGAAAGTCCAGAAGACCTTTTTTGAATCTGACCAAAAGGCTATGCCAAAATTGGGAAACTGCCTGAAAATGGCTGAGTCTGGCAACGTGTTTGTCAAGCCTACTTTGGAGCTCAATTTGAGAATCATGGATGCGAGTCAAGTCCAAGGGCCTCTACCACGTTAAATTACGTATTTTTTTATACAAAGGAAAGGCATTGGATGAAAGATTCAATATCTTTAAGGCTTCAAACAAAAGGCTCGAAGTTGCTACGAAGGCTTTTTTCTGCCAGCTTGCTTGTGCTCAAAGTCTGCCAGAAAAACAGCCTTCGTAGCAACTTCGACCCTTTTGTTTGAAGCCTTAAAGATATCCAATCTTTCATCCAATTCCTTGAATTTGTATAAAAACATACCTAATTTAACGTGGTAGAGGCTCCTGGACTCGACTCGCATTCATGCTTCTCGAATTGAGCTCAAAAATAGACTTCACAAACACGTTTCCAGACTTAGCCATTTCTAGGCAGTTTCCCAGTTTTGGCATAGCCTTTTGATGAGGTTCAAAAATGGTCTTCTGGACTTCCTATCGAGCTATCAATCACTTCAATATGTAGAGGGACACTCCAGCTTCAAAACAAGTCATTAGTCTTCAATTTCCATCTAGCCAATTGTATGATATGAATATCCAAAGTAAGCACCGTGAACTGTTTTTACACTGAAACAACAGATTAGGTCGACCGGATCCTATATGAGGTCGACCGAATCCTAAATGAGGTCGACCGGATCCTATATGAGGTCGACCGAATCCTAAATGAGGTCGACCTAATCCTAGCTGAGGTCGACCGGAAAGTGCAAGTCACCGTGACATGCATGTCACCGTAGGCACACCCTAACATTTTATGATCAATTAATATTGCTTTACATTATCATTCTCATTGATCATAAAGCACAATACTAATTTTCAACATCTTGGGTACTTGTGACATAGTGCACCTGTGTGATTCAGTCAAACAAATATTGTCCAGAAAAATATTAGCTCAAGCGAACCAACATTCACGCTTCAACACCAAAATTTTAATAACAATACAATAAATCATTGATAACGAAAAAGTATTTCGTTGAAAATAAACACAAAACATCAATGTAAAAATGTCTGACTTCAACATTATAAATGACATCAAACTTTTAATAAAGATATTAAAATCCATTAATATCGAATGATCAAGTCACTGATAAGGAAATAGATTTTTGTAATATAAAAATATTAATAATATTCAGATGCAATGTTTAATGTCAAATAGCACTAAAAATGCATTAATAAGTAACATGTGTTTAATGGATAATGCATCCAAAAACTTTGATAATGATAGCAACTAATGATTGTTAAGTACCTTATTAGATATTATTAATATCTTATTTTCAAACATTGATAATGCCTATACACGCCTATTAATAATGACACCAAACTACGTTACTAACTTAGACTGAAAGATTAATAACCATAGTTATATCATTAAACGTAAATTCACTTTTAATAATGTCATAAACAAACGAATATCTAACAAGTATATATGCTTCTTGATAATGACATTTGACAAAGTTACAAACATAAACTTCTGATAATGTCATAAACAAACGAATATCTAACAAGTATATATGCTTCTTGATAATGACATTTGACAAAGTTACAAACATAAATGAAAAATATTAATAATTCAAATCACTAAACATAAGCAATCTTGCAAATGATTAAAAATTTTGCTTGGAAAAAAATATTGATAATAGCACTTCAAATGATTATAAATCATTGCGAACCAAATTGATAATACGATGTAATAGTAAATAAACTTCAAGTACCAATAAATTGAAAACACAATTTCACTTTTACTAATGTTACAAACAAAACATAACATAAAAAGTTAATAATATCATATAAAATTATTAAAAAACATGTCGAAACACATTAATAATAACACAAACGAATACCTAACAATGAAAAATCTCAAACCCATGCAATGAAAAGCCCTAATGATGATTCAATTTATAAATATTGATAATGTCATTACAAAATGTTAATACTTAATACTAATCAGAAGTTGCCAAGATGTGAGAGAGGAATTTCAAATTTCCATTTTAGAAAAAGAAAATTATTAAATTCGGACTTTATTAAATATTAAATAAAATTATTTCATATTTCTTTTTAATTATAATGTAGAGAGATGGTTATGGAGAAAATCATGGGAGGAGAGAGAAAGAGAATCATTAATTAATTATATTAATTTTAATTATATTTGCATAACTCTATTTACTCTTAACTACCTATTAACTACTAACCCCTATTAACTACCTAATCCACTATAAGCCAATAGGAAGACTTTAATGTTTTCCTTAAGAAATGAGGCTTAAGGACTTGAACTCAAGCCCTCATCGCCCCATTCAAGGTCGGCAGTGGAAAAGAATCAACCGGGCCGAATCGGTCTGGGTCGTTGGGCTGGTAGCTGGGTCGAACTGGGCTTAAAGTTGGGTTTCTGTGTGGACCTATGTTGGGCCGACTTTGTGCTTAGACCTTGGCTTCTTCATATCTGGGCCGAATCTGTGGATCTGGAATCTGGGGTTGAACTGACTGTTTTTTTTTTCTTTTGTTGCAGGTCCATGGTTTATAAAAGAGTGGTCTCCAAATCAAGTGTTAATTTTCAACCTTGTTTAAGTACATGTGAACCAACTATGCAATATTAATTAGAACATTTGATTTCATTATGAAATGTAATCTTCATCTAATAATAAAGTTTTGCTCTCATTATCCAATTTGACCATTTTATTAAAATTAAATCCTAACCCAAACCTGAAGCGACCTTTATGAGTTCAATTCCAAACATCATTATTAGATGTCATTCTAGCATTAACATCTGCTAATTTCAAATTTTGGCTCTCAACTACGAATCAAATAAAAGTGAACTTGATAATTATTGGTACTTATTGACTCGTCACTGCTAGTCTCGATCAATTTTATCCAAACTCCGATATCAATTTTTTGTTGTATTTTACTTTTTTTGCGTTTTAAGTAGAATATTTATCCCGAACAAAATGTGGTATTTACAAACTCACCAATAATAATAAATAAATAACAATAAAGACTCATGCACGTTTGATGAAGCACCAACCCACACCATCAACAGTTTCTGGTGGGTCATGCGTATTTGACATTTTCTCATTCACTTCTATGAAAGAAAGAAAAATCCTTCCTAATATATAAACGTGAAGGAAGTTGGCATTCATCCTCACAAGATTCCAACTTCTCTTCTACACACAATACCACTTCCATCTGCACTAGTGCATTCTACTTCTCTTTCCCCATAGCAAGTGATCAATCTTCTCCACCATTGAGAGAGGTGAGAGACGAAAATTGTCCAGGCTGCCAGATAGACAAAATTAAAGCAACGAAAACGGGCTGGCCTCTTCGAGAAATCGTTATCATATGGAGCCTCGTCTTGTGCACAAGTAAACTAGCTAGCCACTTTCATCTTTGTAGTTAGCATTTATAAATGCTATTGCTCTTACTAAGAACTGTTGTTTGTATGTTTGCAGCGCTGCCGATATCTTCTCTTTTTCCCTACCTGTATTTCATGGTAAGCCTGTGCTGAATATTCTTCATTATATTGTATAGCATGTAGGCAGTATATTGAATACAGATTGCTAACGATTTTTTTTTTTTTTTTTGGAATTATAGGTTAGGGACTTCAATGTGGCACAACATGAAGAAGATATAGGTTACTATGCTGGATATGTTGGTAAGATAAATTTATGTGCTTGCTTCTAACCTTTATACTTGAGTTCCCTATCCAATCTTAAAACTCACTGGATACGATGATATTTTTCGAAGGTTCCTCTTTCATGCTGGCCAGATCAGTGACTTCTGTTATCTGGGGTCTCATTGCCGATCGCTACGGCCGGAAACGTGTGCTACTGCTGGGGACCTCGGCAATGTAAGTTGTTATGACGATACGAGCTTGCTTAATTGCTTATGTTTGATGATCATTCAACTGATGTACTGAAGTGATAAAAGTTATCGAGTTAATAATAATGTTGTTATTTGGCTGCAGGGTTGTTGCCAACATTCTGTTTGGGCTTAGTGTGAACTTTTGGATGGCGGTGTCCATGAGGGCTCTTCTTGGCTGTCTAAATGGTTTAATTGGAACGACAAAGGTAATTACTTAATTGGTTGCCTCTTTCTTTACATAGTCACGAATATGAGTTCCTCTGATACTTATAAAACCGATATACTGGTGTTGTGAACAGGCATATGCAAGTGAGATTTTCAGAGAAGATCAACAAGCCCTGGCTTTGTCCACAGTGAGCTTACTCTACATTTGCAATTTAGTCGTCCAAATCTATCTGCTGTACAAATAAATGTAACCGATTGTTACGATTCGACTTGCAGGTTAGCACAGCATGGGGGTATTGGATTGGTCATTGGCCCTGCTCTGGGGGGTTTCCTGGCTCAGGTATATACATAGATTCCAGTCCAGTACTGTATAGACTGCATTTTTGGTGAAAGCATAAGTAACATTCTCCTTGTACAATAATTTCCTACAGCCAGCAGAAAAGTACCCAAATCTGTTCCCCCAGGACAATCTGTTTGGGAGGTATGTCAAACGTCTCGTTACTCATTACATTTTCGCTTTCCTTGAGTGCAAATTTGGACATTGTGTAACCCTCCTGCTTCGCTGAATGCAGATTCCCCTACTTATTACCCTCCCTTGCTATATCAATCATCACTCTGGCAGTAACCATTGCGTCGTTGTGGATTCCGGTAAAGATTTGTATCGATCACAACCTCGATCCATTAGTGTTTCTAGTTCGATCAGCATCACCAGATCGCAGCAACCAGTTTCAATATATATGTACATGTTTAAGGAACACATGATGAACAATTAATGATTTTGTTTGGCAGGAAACATTGCACTTCCACAATGAAGAAAGGACTTCAATAGATGACCCTTGTGAAGCTCCGGAAACTGCTGATGCATCTGGTGGTGATGGTGATGGAAACAGAGCAGCTGCAGAGCAAAGCCTCTTAAGGAATTGGCCTCTGATGTCGGCTATCATTGTTTACTGCGTCTTCTCACTCCATGACATGGCCTACTCGGAGGTATACATACATATGATGATCTTGCCTAGTGAGAGAGACAGTTATTGGTTAGGGGAAACAACAAAAATAAGATGCAACACAAGTTTATGATTCTAACTTGATCTTGTGCGTGCAGATATTCTCATTGTGGGCTGTGAGCCCCCGAAAGTTGGGTGGTCTCGGGTACTCAACGACAAATGTGGGGGAAGTTCTCTCTGTCTCAGGTACATAACTCACATATCCTACGATCAGGCTTTGCATGACACTAGCTAGCTAAATGACAACACATAGCAAATTAAGATTAACTTAACATCATCCAATAAATTTTGAAATTGTGTAGGTCTAGGCCTTCTCCTTCTCCAACTTTCTCTATATCCATACATGGAGAAGCGTCTTGGACCTGTCATGGTGTCCCGTCTTGTTGGGGTAAATATTCATATCTCTATAACGATTCTTCTTCCCTTTTTTTTTTCTTTTTTCTAGTTTCACCCATTGCGTAACTTTGTATGTTGAGTCTTTCGATTGATTATATATATATCTCACAAGCTTTGACGATCCCGTTGTTGGCAAGCTACCCTTTCCTGTCAAAGTTCGAGGGTTTTACTCTCAATCTGCTGTTGAATTGTGCATCTCTGTTGAAGAATATTTTAGCGGTAAGTTAATGCAAATAGAGCATTATAGTCGTTGTTTGGTATAAAATTAGCACAACAAATCTTATTCTTTAGACTCTACGTAACACTCTGTTCTTTCTTTTTCTCCATATATAACTAGGTGTCCATTTCAACGGGCTTATCGATTCTCCAAAACAAGGCAGTGGTAAGCTTTTTTGCTTCCTACTCCATGCTTGTTGAACCAAGTTATAGCTTCTCACTCCATGGTTATTGTACATGACAGGACCAACACCAGAGAGGAGCGGCTAATGGCATTGCTATGACAGCGATGTCACTTTTCATAGCTATTGGTCCTGCTGGAGGGGGTGCTTTGTAAGTCATCGTAACTTCTATTATTGTTATCATGCACATACATATTAGTGTTCCTTTTCTTACTGTCATTATTACATTTATTTGTGCAGACTCTCTTGGGCAGAATCACGCCAGGATGCTGCTTTCCTACCAGGTACCAATTTTAGAGCCAAAATTACCTTACTATTACTACTATTATTATTGATAACATGTGGCAAACTGAAGGACTCACATTCAGATGGAAATTGTTGATACAGGGACCCAGTTGGTTTTCTTCACCCTGATTCTAGTGGAAGCAGTTGGAGTATTACTAACATTCAAGCCATTCTTAGCCCAACGCCAAAAGAAGGAGTAGCCAAGAAGAAACCAACTGATCATCCATATTACCAACACCGCCTAGCATGTAGCCTTGTTAGTGATGATGTGTATTTCTTACAATGAGATGTTGGAAGGAATTTGATATCAGTGAAATAAACAAAACGCAACGCGAATACTTATAATTAGTTATGATGTGTGTTTGCAATGTTTTATATCTCCTCGCTCAGCATCGATCAAAACAAATTCATTTTGCTTTTTCCCCTTCATTTTAGTCAACTAAATGAATATAAAAATTGGTATTTTGTGAAAAATGTGAATATTTTAAGTCAAAATATGTTTATTGGCCAGTGACATGGTGGGTTTTTCGCTAATCAACAGTGTTGACTGTCCAACATATATACCGATTAACTCTTGGAGGCCAACTAAGTAAACTTTAAGATTTGTTCAGCCCATAATGTTAAATAGTGAAAAGATTGCCCAGGATGTTAAAGATGAGAAAAGTTTGGACCAGGCAAAAATATTAACCTTTTTAAGTGGGTTTATATTGACAAGGCGGTTACATGACGGGTTGACCGTTAGTCAGTGGTGTTCACCGTTAATTTGAATGGTTAACACTTGGTTTAGACCAAATCAATAATTTACTATAATAATTCGAGTCATAATAGGCATTTCTGAAAAGAATGATCAGAATAATAATTTTGGAAAAGATGGGACCAAACAAATCAAATAACCTTTTAGATTACAATCACATACTATTTTTAGAAGATTTTTTTTGCTTCTTATAAGAATTCTCATGATTTTTCCTACTCTGCATGTAAAACATTTGTACCAACTTATTTGAGTTACTATTAAATATTAATGCATCTAATGAAGTAGGTGAATGTTAATTCCTTTTAATAAAGTATCTACTATATCCTCATCTAACACACAGTAGTATTCATAGTAAAAAAAACACAGTCATATTCCATTTGATCGTATGGTTTTGCTTGGGTTAACTTTGTTTGTTTTAAGAGAACTCATAATATCAAAACAAATCCTGAATTTTGCAATAGAAAGTTGACAGCGGTGAACAGAATTGCTAATTCATTAGTTAGTGAAAACATAGGTGACCTATTTGCTAAAATTAAAACATAGTGGATCGATTTCTGAGTAAGCCCAAACATAAATGACCTTTTAGGCTTTTACGCTATGCATGTAAAACATTTGTACCAACTTATTTGAGTTATTATTAAATATTAATGCATCTAATGAAGCAGGTGAATGTTAATTCCTTTTAATAAAGTATCTACTATATCCTCATCTAACACACAGTAGTATTCATAGTAAAAAAAACACAGTCATATTCCATTTGATCGTATGGTTTTGCTTGGGTTAACTTTGTTTGTTTTAAGAGAACTCATAATATCAAAACAAATCCTGAATTTTGCAATAGAAAGTTGACAGCGGTGAACAGAATTGCTAATTCATTAGTTAGTGAAAACATAGGTGACCTATTTGCTAAAATTAAAACATAGTGGATCGATTTCTGAGTAAGCCCAAACATAAATGACCTTTTAGGCTTTTACGCTATGCATGTAAAACATTTGTACCAACTTATTTGAGTTATTATTAAATATTAATGCATCTAATGAAGCAGGTGAATGTTAATTCCTTTTAATAAAGTATCTACTATATCCTCATCTAACACACAGTAGTATTCATAGTAAAAAAAACAGAGTCATATTCCATTTGATCGTATGGTTTTGCTTGGGTTAACTTTGTTTGTTTTAAGAGAACTCATAATATCAAAACAAATCCTGAATTTTGCAATAGAAAGTTGACCGCGGTGAACAGAATTGCTAATTCATTAGTTAGTGAAAACATGAGTGACCTATTTGTTAAAATTAAAACATAGTGGATCGATTTCTGAGTAAGCCCAAACATAAATGACCTTTTAGGCTTTTATGCTATGCAATGCAGCTTCTGACACTAGGCCTTAAACTTCTATAGCTCAACAGCTCATCTCGTAATAGTGGGCTGCATTTTGCCCATGAGGCCCAAAACTTTAAGAAGAAAACAAATAACGTAGTGGGCTGCATTTTGTCCTTGAGGTCTACAGACTGAAGAATTCAAGGCCCAACGGTGGAAAAAGAATTCAATAACTAGAGGTTTGCTGAGAGTGGGATTTGAACCCACGCCCTTTCGGACCGGGAAAGGGTCTGGCGCCTTAGACCAACTCGGCCATCTCAACTTAATTGTTAAATTGATCTCAATGTTTTAATATTATTATTAGACGACATAAGTTCCAAACCTTGAGATGAAATAGTTTGATGTATTCAATAGGGAGCATATAGATGTGTGAGTCCAGGAACAGGAGGTACAATATATAAGATAGGGAGTGTATGAGTAGATATTTAGTAAATACTCTGTTTAATACACGTATATGTACCAGTATATACTTTATTCGTTTAAAACTTCTGTATCTGTATTATTGACAAATCGTTTCATTTTTCTCGTTCATTTGATGGCTCCCGTACTAAACACGTATAACCCATATAACGTTTATTATCAGTATTTTACGAATTAAATTGTTAACTTTACTATTATTTATTTATTTATTTTTAAAATAATTAATTTTATATATTTATGACTATTAACGTACTATCAAACATGTAACTTTAGCTAAGAGACGAAGTATAATTCCCGTATATATTTTTTACGTAACTTTCTCGTACAGTATTTTACTAACTATGATGAGTAGTGTGGCTATGGTAGGTTGAGTTGAGGGGTGAAATGAGTTATTAACAATTATGAATTATTGTAAGTTGAGTTAGAATTACGAATTGATTCATAAATGATTATGAATTAGCGTGAATACTATTATTTTGGATCGTTGATTAATAATTTGGATAAATATTGTTTCAACAAAAGTACAATGTAATTTTACGCTATTGAAGCTTGCTACTGGACAAACATAATATTTCTTCATTCTCTTTAATGGCTTATCAACATTGAATTTCCCTATATATGAACTAGATCGGGCCCATCCGTTGGCCGAATAAATTACATAAATAATATAAAAGATAGTAGTATTTGTCCAAATCAAAATACGTTTTTATTTGGTACCATGAAAAAATCTACACTATTTAATTACTAATAGTATAAATTGGGAACACACATGATAAGTTTTCTTATATCCTGATCATTCGTGGACAACAATCTTGAACAAAGGTTTTACAAACCTTATGCAGGGAATCAATTCCTAAGAAAATTAATAAGACTGTATTTCAAATTTACTACTTTTTGTAAAAAATCACTGTAAATTATTTTTCTAAAAAATACTACAAAAGTTATTTTGGATGTTTTGTTGCAATTGCTTCATCATCAAAACTATTATCTTATCCATGTAGCTTCATCTTCACTCATGAAACCTTTATATTCACCATCAATAATCTTTTCCTTATCTCTTGCATTTCATTGAATCTCAAACTTTAATTGTAAATGTTTGGAAATGTGAAACATCATTTTCACGCCAGTAAAATTTACTTCAGCCAAATCGTAATATTATCAATGATTCACTCTCTTCTCTCATCATTGAAATTTATATATCCACCATCAAGAATCTATTCCTTCTTCTCAACAACATCATTATCCATCACTGAATCCACTACCTACGCCATTAGTATACTCTTTTTCTTCTCTCACATTATACCGAAAGCAAAATTTTAATGGCACAACATTTACATTTGCGAAACACCATTTTCAAGGTGCTAAATTTACCTTGCTTGTGTCATGAACTTCATTAAGATTACTCTTCTTTAGCCTTCTAATTTAAAATTGTGTACTCACTTATGAGGTTCGCGATGTTGTAATCGATCGATGAGCTCAATGTGAAAATTCAACTTCATTCCTTCCTTTTGTAGAAGATGAGAAGGTAAAGGTCTTCTCATTCTATCACTATCTTCAAATAGTTTCTCGGTATGCATTCCCAAATACCTAACTCTCTCACGAACCGGAAGAATAAAGCCAGATTCAAAAATTTCATCCATAATTAATCCTGAATGATTTGAAAATAATGAAAAATTTACTAATGATTAGAACTTTAAAAATTTATACCTAACTAAAATTAAAATTTACGTTCACATAAAACCCACATGATAAAGCATATCATGTTTTTGAAATTGAATTTGTGGATTGGTTTTTATGTGTTTCAACTTTCAACCCAAAGTGTGTCCACGTAAATTAAGCCCAAAGCTATATATCCCCCAAGCCCTAAGGAAACAAACTCAAGCAGCGGAAGGGAGATATCAAGGCGGAAAAGCTTCCTTCAAAAGGACCAAATTGACCTTCCGTAAGTTGCCCAGGAAGCATGAATTCTTCATTCTTGTATGTTCTCACGGGGAATACCCATATAGTAATGGGAAGGATTCATCTAGTATAAGGATTATAATAAAAAAAAATCATCTAGTCGAACACATGGTTTTTCATCTCATTATTACTAAAAACCATTGTTATAAGTAGCGAATCAGATCAACGGCCAGACCAGTAGAATCGTTAAATTAGTTACAATATCGGGCTGGTTCATTACTTGGATGGTTATTGATGGGCCAAATGGTTTTTCACGGTTCAACATAAAATCAGATGAACCACCACGATTTAACTGGTCCACTAGTTCACTATTTTAACAAAAAAAGTTTAAAAAAATACTTTAACATAAACTAAGACCATCAAATCATAATTATTAATTTTATATATGCTTCCTCTTCTCATTCCCACGTTATTGTCGACTTTACGTTGTCAACTATCGACTGACATAGTAATTTTTAATTTGTATAAAAAAATATGATTTTTTTTGTGAGATGGTTTGAATGATTTATTAGATATTTTGGTGATGATATGAATTTAAAATTGTTTATGGTCAACGATAATTTCACTCTTAAATTAGTGTAATATACAAATCTTATATGTTATATCATGAACGGTTCTATCAACCAACAATTTTATAACGATTAACCAATAAATCTTAAACCACTAACTTTTTCGATTCAGTCTCATGTCCGGTTCCGAAAACAATGGTTTCAAATTCAATCCACCCCACTACCTTTGACGAATTTGGCCACAGCATTATTACCTTTGCTTTCTTTTTACAGACCCATGATCAAAAGCTCATGTGTAAAAGGAGTGTAAATCGACGACCATTTGAAGAATTGAAGTCCAAATTTCACACACAATTCCTAGTCATCATTCACAATAAATACACTCCCCTCATAATGATACTGTACTGTAATGATAGACCTAAGCTCGGGCTCTCATCGACGGGCAATGACCAAAAACGAACTCTGATTCATTCTGTGTTGTGTGCCTTTCGTTCATTCCTAACTCGTTCATTCCTAACCACATGGAATCTGATGATCAATCAGCTTCTTCTATTCCTTTCCATGGAGTTAAATGAAACAACAGATAACGGTCACCGCCCTTTATCTATTGGTGTCATTTATATTCTAGTGGTTGTGGTTTTTGTTTTTCTGCTTAAATGTGGCGTTAATGTTTCTATATGTAGGGTGGAAATCGATGCGGTATCGGTATCCCAATACTAAATATCGAAATCCCGAATATCGAATTACACCCTAAAACCAATCTCAATCCCAATCCCTAAATAATTTCGGTATCCCAATCTCAATCCCTAAATAATTTCGGTATCCCAATCGGTACCTCGGTATCCCAATCGGTATTATCGAATACATAATTAATTATCTTTTTACTTAATAATTAAAAATATAAATTATATTTTATTGTTTAATTTAGGGAAAAGAGACTAAGCAAATAGTCTTGAGTTGTCTAGAGCTAACATCTCAAGTTCTTGTAATTGATAATCTTTAATTTGACGAATTTGAGGTTGAGAGACGACTAATACTAGTGTGAAATAGTGATGTAATGATCTATGTATAATTAAATGACACTTTTGGTGGTTCAGGGTCGTGTAAAAGTGAATGAGAGAGTTTAGCTGACAAGATAAAATACACACTAGCTTATATTTCGGTATTGATCGATATTTTGGTATATACCGATCCCAATCCCGTAATCCCTAATACCGAATAACAATTGAAATTCAATTCCAATCCCAATCTCACAAAATAATACGTGTATTCGATAATATCAAATATAGACAAATTCGATACGGTATTGATCTTACTGAAAATCGTAACTATCATACTCTCAAAGTCTCATTAATTTCCTCTATTCCTAAAATTTTCACACAACATCACTCAAATCATCGAACGACTATTAGTACAAATACATTGCCCCAACAAGTGTGTAATAGGATCCTCCCATAATTTCTTCCTTCACTTTTGTCTTTAGGTATAGAGTTACTTTCACCGTCTCTTTTGGTTCATCAGTTTTGTTTGCATACTAGTGTCTAGGGACGGGAAGTTTGGTATCGGTATTTGGGATATATCGAATACCGTACCAAATTTATCACTATTTGGTAGGGTTAAAGACACATTTGGTCACTGAGATTACTAAATTGGGACATGTTTAGTCACTAGAAAAAATTAATATCAATTTTAGTCACTCGAATTACTGGAACAGGTCACATTTAGTCACTCTCCGTTAGTCTCCGTCCAACTCCGTTAATGAAGTCTGTTAAGTGCTGATGTGGCAAACAGAGGTGCCTAGTCAGCCCCGTTTTGAGTCGGAAATGGTCAAACCCGACCCGCCACGTCACTAAACCCGCCATGTCATATGCCCAACCAACCCATGCACCCACCCGACCCATAAACCAAACCCAACCTTTCTGATTCCACTTCTCTTCTCCGATTCCTCCTTTTCCTTTCCTCCGGAGCGCCGATCTGGTCAAGGACTACGGAATCACCACCGGCAACGTCCTCCACTTGGTCCTCAAGCTCTCCGACCTCCTCCTCATCACCGTCCGCACCACCTGCGGCAAGGAATTCGAATTCCGCGTCGACCGGTACCGAAACGTCGGATACCTAAAACACCGCATCTTCCAAGAGGGAAAGGGTTTCGTCGATGTCGACGAGCAGGAAATCTTCTACAACGGTCAGAGGCTCGATGACCAGCGCCTCATCGACAAGGTCCGCGACACTAGAGTCGCAGACGCCGCCTCGATTCACTTCCTCGTCCAGAAAACCGCCAAGGTCAGAGCCCAGCCGCTGAACAGAGATTTTGAGATCTCCGTCGCCGCCGCAACAAACCCTAATCAAAATCAGAAGCAGAACCAGAAGCAGAATCAGCAGTCGTCGATTGAGGCGCCAAATCAAGAGCAAGCTGGTAGGGATTTCTGGCTAGAACCCGTGATCGTAAACCCTAGCGTGAGATTAGATTCAGCGATTTGGAACATGGTGAATTCAACCTTCGTCGGGTTGGAAATGGGTCACCCGCCGATCCGTTCGTCGCAAGGAACAGGGGGGACTTATTTCATGAGGAACCCATCAGGGCAAGGGTTCGTATCCGTGTTCAAGCCCAGCGACGAGGAGCCTAATGCGGTGAACAACCCGCAGGGACTGCCGGTGTCGACCAACGGGGAAGGTGCGATTAGAGAAGTTGCCGCTTACATATTGGATCATCCCATTGACGGACCGAGGAGTCTGAACAATGAAGTGATGGGGTTTGCAGGTGTGCCGCCCACCAAGTGATGGGGTTCAGTGTTTGCACAAAGGGTTCCATCATCCTGAAGGGTTCGAGTACTCTGCCAAGAATGTGAAGATGTGGTGGTGGTTGTAATTGGGGCGGAGGTGGGGGTGGTGGAGATTGGTTTCGATGTTGGAGAAGGTGAGAAGTGGGAAAGGGGGTTTTTTGGTTTTCTGGGTGGGTTGGAAGGTGGTGGGAGGAAGGAGGAGAGCGGCGGCGGCGGTGGTTTTGGGGAAAGAAGGAGGTGAGAGGAAGGAGGAAGAAGGTTGGGTGGGGTTGGATCATGGGTTGGGTTGGTTTTAATGACATGGCGGGTCGGGTTTTATTTTTGTTGGGTTATATCCGACTGATTAGGCAATTCTGTTTGCCACATCATCACTTAACGGAATTCATTAACGGAGTTGGACGGAGACTAACGGCGAGTGACTAAATGTGTCCAGTTTTAGTAATTGTAGTGACCAACTTTGATATTAATTTTTTCTAGTGACTAAACATGTCCCGATTTTGTAATCCAGTGACCAAATGTGTCTTTAACCCCTATTTGGTATTACCAAATACCGATTTATTTTTTAGGGATTGTGATTTATTTTAGAGTGCTATTCGGTATTCGGGATTACAGGATTGAGATAAG